AAGTTCATAGGCCATCTGTATGTTCTCTTTGCAGAAGTGTCTATTTAGGTCTTCTTCCCTTTTTTAATTGGATTGTCTGTTGTTTTGGTGCTAAGTTTTATGAGTTCTTTATAAATTTTGAGCATTAACCTCTTATCAGATATATCATTGGCAAATATCCTCTCCCATTCAGTAGGATGTCTTTTCACTTTATTGATGGTTTATTTTGCTGGGCAAAAACTTTTCAGTGTGATGTAGTGGTATTTGTATATTTTTTCTTTTGTTTCCCTTGTCTGAGGAGATGTATCAGAAAAAATACTACTAAGCAATGTCAGAGAGTTTACGGCCTATGTTTTCGTCTACTTTTATGGTTCAGGTCTTATGTTTAAATCTTTAATCTATTTTTATTTATTCTTGTATATGATGTAAGAAGTTTCTTCAGTTTCATTTTTTGCATGTATGTGTCCATTTTTTACAACACCATGCATTGAACAGACTGTCTACCCCACTGTATATTGTTGCCTCTTTTGTCAAAGGTTAAATGACCACATAGGCATGGATGTATTTTTGGACTCCCTACTCTGTTCCATTGATCTATGTGTCTGTATTTATGCCAGTACCATGCTGTTTCAATTACTATAGACTTGTCGCATAGTTTTTCTCAGATAGAATAGTACCTCCAAATTTATTTTTCTTTCTCAACATTGTTGTAGCTATTTGGGGTCATTTGTGATTCTATATACATCTTAAGATTATTTGCTCTAGCTCTGAAAAAAAATATGCCATTGGTATTTTGATAGGAATTGCATTGAATCTATAGATTATTTTGAGTAGTATAGACATTTTAATGATGTTAATTCTTCCTACGCATGAACATGATATAAGTTTCTATTTATTTGTGTCTTCTTTAATTTCTTTCTTTAGTGTCTTATAGTTTTCTAAGTACAAGTCTTTTACCTCCTTGGTTAAATCAGAGAAATGCAAACTGCAATTACAATGAGATATCACTTCACACCTCTCAGAATAGCTATCATCAATAAATCAACAAACAACAAGTGCTGGCAAGGATGCAGAGAAAAGGGAACCCTTGTGCACTGTTGGTGGGACTGAAAATTGGTGCAGCCACTATGGAAAACAGTTTGAAGCCTCAAAAAATTAAAAATAGACCTACTGTGTGAGCCATCAATTCAACTTTTGGGTATTTATCCAAAGAAATCCAAAATGCTAATTCAAAAAGATATGTACACACCTATGTTCATGCAGTGCTATTCACAATAGCCAAGATGGAAACAACTGAAATGCCCAGCAATAGACAATTGGATAAAGAACATGTAGCACATTTATACAATGGAATATTACTTGGCCATAAAAATAAATGAAATCTTATCATTTGTGACAACATAGATGAACCAAGAAGGTATTATGTGAAGTGAAATAAGTCATGCTGAGAAAGACAAATACAATATGGTCTCACTTATATGTTGAACCTAAAGAAGAAAATAATGAATAAACAAAACTGAAACAGGCTCATAGATACAGAGAACAAACTGATGGTTGCCAGAAGGAAAGGGGATGTGGGGTTGGGTGGAGAAGGTGAAGGGATTAAGAAATAAAAATTGGTAGTTTCAAAATAGTCATGGGGCTATAAAATGCAACATACACAGTATGGTCAATAATATTTCAACAACTATGTATATAGTGTCAAGTGGGTACTAGACTAATCGGTGGGACCACTGCATAAATTGTATAAATGTCTAACCACTATGCTGTACATCTGAAACTAATATAAAATTATATTGAATGTCAGCTGTAACTGAAAAAATAAGGATTTTTTAAAAAATAATTAAATAAAAACCACAGAAATACACACAATAACAAAATAACTCCATAAAATTTGTCCTTAAAATACATAAATAAAAGAAATAAATACCAAATATGTAGTCATAAAAAATAAAAAATGAAAACTTACAAATAGGTAAGAACAAATAACAGAAGAGAGAAACTCCACAAAAAAACCTCAAAGCATTAATTAGGCAGCTGTAAGCTAACATGTTCAAGCTCAGTGGCACAGTCTTCATGCCCTCAGTACTGACACTGATTGGGATTCCTGGCTTGGAGGCTGTGCAGTTCTGCATCGGCATTATTATTTTCTGTGCCGCGTACATCATTGCCCTGTTTGGGAATTCCCTGTTCCTTGTCATCATCAAATCTGAGTGCAGCCTCCACGAGCCCATGTATCTCTTCCTGGCACTGCTTGGAGACGCAGACTTTGTTTTCAGTATCTGCATACTAACAAAAAATGCTAGGAATATTCTGGTTTCATCAGCCAAAGATGTAATTTGATGCCTGTCTCTTAAAGTGTGGCTCATTCACAGCTTCCAGAGTATTGAGTCAGGTATTCAGGTGGCCATAGCCCTAGATCACTTTGTGGGAATTTGTGGTCCTCTGAGACATGCAACCATTTTAACTCACTAACTTCTTACACAGTTTGGGGTTGGAGTGACACTCAGAGTAGTCCTCTTTGTGGTGCACAAGCACAGATTTTACCAGACCAAAGCAGTCTCAGATTTGGCCCTTTGAGGGAGGGTTCAACATAGAAAAAACTTCATCCTCCTGTAGGCCACACACGGGGCAAGCTGCACACAGTGATAATGATTGTTCTCCCTCCAGCCCTTGCCCTGAAACCACACAACTCAGTCTTTCTCCATAGGCCTCTGGCACCTCTCAAGTTGCTGCCCCTCCATCAAAGACCTGGTTAGTGTTTGCAAGTGAGCGAGTCTGCGTGCGGGCCCTTTAAGAGGACATTTGGGTTTCTAGCCACCGTCCATCTCACTGGGGCTGACAGACAGAGTCCTTGTTGATTTTCACTTCCATATGTTATGGGAACTCCTGTTCCTGGCACAAGTCCCATGGGCTGGGGAGTCCAGAGTGGGCCTGAGACCCCTCCCTCTTCTGGGGGACCTCCGGCACCGAAGTGTCCCTCCTGGTGTTCAACCACTGTCTGTGGGTTTGGGGTCAGCCCATTTCTCATCCCCACTCTTACCAGTCTCAATGTGGCCTCTTCTTTATATCCTTAGTTACAGGGGTATAGTTCACATAGTCTCAGATGATTCTTGAAGTTGACTGTTCCATAATTTATTTGTAATTTTGGTGTGATCCTGGACTGCAGTAGGCATAGCATTTACCTAATCTGTCATCTCCTTATTTAACTTTTTCTAAACATTTAGTTTCTCATATATTTTTGGCATGTATTTGACACTTAATATATATTTTATAACACTAACTGATTCCCTGTTACTGATTTCATTTATTTGATTTGTTATTAACTGAGATAAGACATTTTGTACGGTGTTTTTGTGTGGGTTTATAAGTGTAAAATTTTCACTTTTGGACTTGTTAAGCAAAGAAATGCAATCTCTAAGTGAGATATCCAGTTGGGAGCACTGTATGGTCATTCAGAAAAATACCTTTGCTAATTGCTCTTCATATTTCTAATGCTCATCATGGCATTGGCACTGGTACATACAGAAAAAAATTTTTTGAATGTTGTGATACTTGTGTTCCATTAATTATTTTATTTAATCCTTACTCTGACACTGTAAAGTATAAAAACTATTTTCTACATTTAACCAATGATGACTCAAAATTCACAAACTTAAAAATGAAACACCCAGCTATTAGTGATTGGAGCAGTATTTGGACCTGACATTTCTCTCCTTATACCTCTAGCTCTAAAATGATAGAGCCACTCAAGATATACACATTAGCATAATAAAGCTTATATACAACAAATTATCAGCTAATATCATACTTAATGGTAAGAAACTGAAAGTTTTTCTCTAAAATCAAGAATAAGACAGGGATGCCCCTTGGCACAACTGTTATCCACCATATCATTGGTCTCAAAAATCCATTGACAGAGTTATACAAAGTAATCAAGATTTGCTTTATCTAGTAGTATAAGTGTAGGTATTTTTTCCTAATTTGGTGATGAGGGTGATAAAAATGATTTATTGCTAGAGATAAAAAAGATAACATTTTCTCTCTTTGAAGATCCTCACGATGACAGTTCCACAAGGTTTGCAGTACAGACTAGGCTTTATTACTTTCTTAAATGGCTAGTCATCTGACTTCTCATTAATTATTAAGACTATATATATATATATATATATATATATATATATATATATATTCCATCTGTATAAAATGCCCTTACAAAAGAAGTTTTGCCTTGCTGATACATGTCAAATCCAGAAAACATAAAAGGAGTTCTAATAAAGCAAATACATGAAGCATTGATTCTCAACAGTAAAGAATTTCAATTTCTGTAAGACTGAAATTAGACATAATGTCATCTATAGATGATGTATTATAGAGATGCACACTTGAAACTTATGTAATTTTATTAACCATTGTCACCCCAATAAATTAAATTTAAAAAAGAGTGAGATTGGTAACCATTTATAGATACATAAAAGATAGCGATAAAGTTTCCTCTGAGAAGCAAGAAACAAAGTTGTCTGTTGATGAATTAGTGAGGAAAGAAGGGTGATGGTGATTTGGAATGTCTCATAAGTGGACTATTAACCAGTCTGAAAACATCATTTAAGTTTAGAGACCAATTATAACTTCTATGTTGATTAAGACAACTCCACAAAGTGGTGATAAAATTGTGCCTCCATTGATATAAACTGTGTGTTTGGATAACTTTCTTGCAGATAGTTCTTGCAAGATAATCTTTCTGGCCAATTGTTAAAATATTATGTTTTCCTGGACAGAAATGATAGGGCCATGTGATGAATGACTCTCCTTTCACAATTTTTTACATTATACTTGAATTGAGACACAAGGTTTCATTACCATTTTTGATACCTATGAACTTTGAACTAATGGCATATCATTTAAAATGTTAGTGTTCAATTGACTTACATTTAACTTATGTAAATAGATGTATTCCCTCCCTCTCCCTGCCCAAGGTTTTCTACATCTAAACCACTTACAACTTTTTGATCTAAAGCCTTTCAATCCCTCTTCCTGGAGAAGCACCTCTGAATCCTGCCACGGATCTGTTGGGTCTTGACACTGTAGATGATGGGGTTCATCAGGGGTGGGAAGATGATATAGATGTTACCCATGAGAACATGGACCACAGGAGAGAGCTGCTTCCCGAAGCGGTGCACCATAGTCAGACCAATAATTGGAATATAGAAAACCAGAACAGCGCAGATATGGGAAACACAGGTCTGCAAGGACTTGAGCCGCTCCTCCCGGGATGCAATAGCTAAGACAGAATGCATGATCAGAATGTAGGATACAAGAATTAGCATGGAATCAAACAAAAGGATACAAATCACCAGAGCCAAAGCATAGAAACTGTTGAAGCGGATGTCAGAACATGCTAGTCTCAGCAGGTCTTGGTGAAGGCAGAAAGAGTGAGAGAGGACATGTGGACGGCAGTAGTGGAAAAACTTTAGGCGGATTATGGGAGCAATGATGAACATAAAACTCCTAACTAAAATCCCCAGTCCAATTTTGATGATCCGGGCATTGGTTAATATGGATGTGTATCTCAGAGGATTACAGATTGCTGTAAAACGATCAAAAGCCATGGCAAGAAGGACTCCAGACTCTGTGGAGGAAAGGCCGTGGATGAAATAAGCCTGTGCAATGCAGGCATCCAGGCTGACTTCCTGGCTGAGCCCCCACAAGATCCCCAGCACCGTGTGCACTGTGGACAGCCCCATGCTCAGGTCAGTGAGGGCCAGCATGGCCAGGAAATAGAACATGGGCTGGTGCAGGCTCGGCTCAGTCCGGATCACATGCAGCACCAGGCAGTTTCCCAGGAAAACTATAGCATAGATACAGGAAAAGGGGATGGACAGCCAGGGATATTCCCGTTCTAGACCTGGGAAGCCTGTTAGGAGAAAGGTGGAAGAATTGGTGTCATGAGCAGAAAAAGCAGGCATGGATAATCTGAGGCGCTTTCTCTATGAGTTAGAAATTAGTTCCATTTGGAAGGTAACATTCAAACGAGTTCTGTTTTCTCATACAGCACAAATTTGAACAGCAGTGGGAAATCATGTACGACAGAATTCTGTATGTCAGATTAAAAAGTCACATTTGCTGTTGTTCGCATTCATTATCCAAGTACAGTGCCGCACTGAAGAATCTGGTTCTATTTCTACCTGGGAAAATTGAGGATAGAGAAAGGAAAAAGTGATCTACATAATTTTATCTTTTCTCAAGCATTTAGAAATTATAAAAGGATTTGATTTTCAAAATGTATATTAATCTTTCAGTGCCATTGGGAAAAGTAGCTACCTTCACCTCCAGAGGACCTTTTCATACATCCTGTTATTCAATACATCTCTTCTAGCCAACAATCTGCGCTGGTTGCAAAACCTCAAAGATACAGTTGCTTTTCTACTCCCAAGAAAGTAGGTTATATCTATTTAAGTTCTTGCTTCAAGTGAAAGCTAAAGGGCTGTAATTTATAACATGAGGAAGGAGGCTCAAGGGTATAAATTGACCCTGCATCCCTGGGGACATTCTACTTATATCTTAAAGAGAATGATGAAATACAACTATGATCTGACTGCAATCTGGAATTATCCAAGGCCAGTGCATTTGTTTTCTTTAGCAAACACATAGTCTATTTGATGTTCCAGGCTGTTTAAGCACTGCATTAAATAAAAATAGGTAATTTAAGCCTGACACCAACCCTAAGCAATAGGTGCTATGATCAGCCATACTTTACACATAAGTAAATTGAGTTCAAGAGAGGTTGAGTAGCTTGCTAAAGTCATACAGACAGCAAATGATGAAGATTTGAACACAGGCAGTCTCACCAAGTGTCCATGCTCTTAACTACTTGGCTCTGTCTTAAATTTCATCTCTTTAGGACTCTCTCAACTCACATTTAATCCTCACATTTGAGCTGAAGTAAACCTTCCTTTGATTTTTACAATGCTCTTTTGGAAGCTCTTCTCCTCACACCGAAAACATATTCTATCACTTGTATAATAGGCATAATAGTTGTGGATACTGGAATGTGGTTAAAGAATCATTATTGGCTAAAGGATGTTATAAACAGGTTAAGTATTCAGTTTGTACAGAGAATTATTGCTGGATTTGTGCATGTCTAATTCTACCTACCAAAACTGACCCATTTCCATCCATAAAACACATTGAGATACAGGTATCTCCTTTCCAAAAGTTCATGTTATTCCACTGTGCTTTTATGAAAGACTTACATTAGTTACTATGGTAATGGCTTTATCTCGGGGAAAAAAAAGTTTAAAAATACCTACATTGTAAGAAAAAGTAACAATTCAGCTCAGTCCACCCACACATTTTAGCTCTAATTTCTGAATGAAGTTAGCAACTACATTCTCCATATTTTATGGATATATCCATTGTACAACTGAAAATACTCATCCTTTCAACAAAAGAGGAACACACTCACTTGTTTTTATTCAGTACTCTTTCAAATTATTACACCTCCTCCTTGATATTCAATTATTTAAATATTGTGATATTGGGTTCACTGCTATTATCACATCTTGGCTCATATAGTAGTAGATGGAAGATGAGACAAGAAAAATGATTTATATACATAAATATGTATGTATCAAAAACTATAATCAGGTTCCAGTTGCAGCTCCAACATGCTAACATATTAAAGTCATCACACGCTCTTGTTCATACAATAAGAAACAGTTGGATAAACTGAAAACCAGCAACTTTGTTTGGCCATCAGATAATAGAAGTTGCAAGGAAAACCACAACCTAAAAACCTGTAGACACAGGCACATCAGAGAGACATAGCTGATATTTCCTTGCCTGGGAAAGAAACTTCTGGAACCACAAACCGGTAGGAACAGTTCAATGGCAAATTTGAGGAATTGCTGGAAGCTGAGAGGGAATCTCCTGGGAAGCCATGTCTTCGGTTGTGGGTGGGTGGACACCTCTGAGGAATTCATTTCCAGGAAACCCATCAATCAGGTTCTCAAAGGGAAGATCTGAGAAAGATCTACTCTTGCCTCTAGAAGAGGGGAGTAGTCATTGTTCAGAATCTACTTCATAGCAAAGTCTTACTCTTTCTATAAAAGACTTGGTCAGAGCTTCATCTCACATGGGGGAAGGGAATCCCTCCAACTCTAGCCATCTCCAGCCTTACATGTCACCTAGGAAGGAAAAATACCTAGTCAACAGGTATAAGGGCCTCAAGGAAATAGATGTGCAAAGAGAATAGAGGACTAGGAGGGAAAGCTATGCAACTGGAGAAACATGTGAAAGTGAGCACCTGAGCCAAAGGGCCACTGAAAGACTGAGATTTACTTGGAAGGTTATAGAGAGCTTTCCTCTCCCACACTGTAATTTTAAAACCACTATACATTCATGATGGAATCAAACAATTAAATAAACGGGTCATATATGGTGGGCACCAAATTTCACCTAGTTGTAGTGAAAGGTTATGGACAACCAAGGGGAAAAGACTGGATGGTCCATGTAGTGATGGGTTAGCTTCTTAGACATAAGTATGAACACAAGTGTAGCTTAACACAGGGAGAAATGGATATAGAGTACATGGAAATACTTATAGATGTTTTTATGTACACTAGTTGGGATACATTCATATATTTTCTTGCTCTGTCATCTGAGAGGGCCTAGGAGCAAAAAATACCCCAGGAACAATGAGCCTACCTTGGTTTCTAATGCCATTCTTCAATAAAATGAATCAGGGCTCCTTGGAGAAATCTCTGATTTTAGGACTGGGGTTCTAGGACAAGAAATATTCAAGATAAGCCGAGAAAATTTTTACTGCTAGAAAGTAACAAGTGCTAAAACTAACATGCACACAAAGTATAGCAGAGCCCCATAGGAGTCAAATTAAAGAGATCCCCAATGGTCAAACTGTAACAACATGAGCAATAAAATAAAGTAGTATTGCATCATAACTCAAAACATAAAATAAATATACATGAGTCTGCAATAATATAAGAAATGATTGAATCAACCTATCATCGGGAGAGAAGAAACAAATTTCCCTGCAGAAGAATACCAAATAATTTATGGAAATACCCTGCCCTTAAAGGGGTGAAGCATAATGCTCACTTTAAAAGAGTGGTAGGTGAACATTGACTTTCAGAGAGGACAGTAGAGAAAGGAATATTTAGAAAAGAATAATTTTCCAGTAGAGGAACCTGACAAATAATATAGTTGCTATATGTATGGCTATACACTTCTCTCGTAGAATTGCTTTTGCAACATCATGTAAGTTTGATTATTTTATCTTTCACCACCCAATTTAAAGAGCATTTGACTCTGATTCCAAAACTTTTAAATATGGGTATGTGGGGGAAATGCCTTAATATTCAGTGTTTAAAGTTTGCTTGGCTTTGCCTATTTGGGTCTCTTTTTCTCTCACAAGTTATGTGTTATTTCAAAATTATCAGGAGATGAAAGAAATAGAAATAAGAGAGGAAGAAAAAAATCAAGGATTATTTTTCTATGTAGATTGCTATCAATACTCTGTCCTTTTTTTCCTATGAAAGGGATAATTTTTCCTAAGCCTTATAGATTTCTGAATTTCATCCAGTCAATATTTTGGTTTTATGTGGGGGCTCCCTTCCAGTTTCTCCATCTGCCTCTATTTCCTGTATGAGCTTGAGAATGCAAGTCCTGAACTGCTATCATTAATCAACAAATCTAGCCTAAGCAAACAATGTCCATTATGGCACATAGCCCTGTGGCTTTCATTACATTTTCAATCTTAACTCCAGGCAGTCAAAAAAAATGTTTTGTATACATGTATCCAGTATTTTAAGTGCTTATAACTGAAGGCCTTACAAGTTTTCATGTTCACTGTATTAAAGGAAATCAAAGTCTCTCCATAGTGTTCTTAAACTATAGTGTTTCAATACATTAAACATGATCAGGTTGAATGGCTTGAATAGCCTCAATAATAAATACCTTGAAATTTATTTCTAAGGTACAGGGATTATGCAATTAGGGCAAAAAGACTCATGAAAGTATTTGGAACTATATTAATGTCATTACAGTTGTGTAACACAGGGAAAGTTTCCAAGTACATATCTGTAGATCAATTTATTTCATAGAAATACAATGTGATCCATTTATGTAATTTTAAATGTTCTAAGTAAAAAGAAACAGGTGGCTATTTTAATATTTTTATTTACCCTGATGCATAATAAATGTTATTCCAACATGTCGTCAATATAACATTACTGAAGAGACATTTTAAATCATTTTTCCACACTAAGTCTTTGATCTAGTATGTGTTTTCTACTTACATAACATCTCTATTTGGACTTGCCACACGTCATGTACTCACTAGCCATTTGAGGATCGTGGCTGCCTTACTAAATAGTGCTAAAATGGAAATAACGGCATTTTGCTTTTATGAAGTGTTTGCATCTTTTGCTATTCTGAATGCTTTACATATTCATCTAATTTAATTTTCTGGACAATCCTGTAAATAGGTAATGTTGCTATCCCTATTTTGGATGATAAAACTGATTAAAGGTAAACTATCTTGTCCAAATACACAGTACTTAAAAGCATAGAAGATGAGTTTCTAACCCAGACAGTCTGGATTTATGAGCACATTCTTTATCTCTAAGCTTTACTGCTTATTAAAATATGATACTCAAATAATTCTAGCAATTATTATTAGATAACACAATACTATAATTCTGATAAATAATGCTAATATTCCTAGCACAGAGTAAGTGCAAAAAAAGTGCTCTATGATACTGTCATGAAAACAGAGGCTCTGATTTAAAGCAGCTTGTAGGAATCACCAACCTTATAAAAAACTACAAAACTTATAAACAATATTTTATATTTGCCAGCACATGAATTCTTTGAATACTTAAGCCATGGGTTCAAGAAAAAAAGGGTAACTTGTAGCTAAAATGAAGAGAAATAAAATGAACTTTAT